AGTTGAATTTTTTAAATCAAGAATTATTTAATTTTTGTAGTTATTTATCCTATAGAATATACTTGAATAACTCGAATAGTATCGCTAAACATATTTAAGCAAAGCGTAAAATCCATTTAATTTGAATCGTCTATTATTTTGAAAGACAAAACTATATTTTTCTACAGAAATCATAAAAATATGATTGTAATGTACTTGGAAAATTGACTTAATTCTTCTAACTAATTACTTTTAAGTATCGAACTGAATGATCCAATATCTGAGAGAGCATTAGATGTTCATGAATTTATTCCGTCAAAAATAGTATCTAACAAATAATACATTACCTCCTGAGAACACGATTTAGAAAATATTGTTTAAAAGAAATCATTGCGAGTGAAGAAACTGAATGGTAACAATGATAATGACTATTACATAACTTTAGATTAAAAGAGAAGATGGATTTTTGTAAAAACGTTTTTTAAAACTAGAGATTATGTACCATTTGAATATGAACGTCTGCTTAAAAATCATGTACAACATTTTGGGAATATAGAATTGGTTACAAAATAGATTGTATTAAAATTAATTATTCAGTCTAAAGAATCATTAGGAAAAGAGGCTACAGTTAACTAAAGTTCATAGCCGTCATACGTAGTGCTGTTTCGGTATGAATGTTAAACCAATTAAATAACTAAAATTCACAACGAAACTTTTCAATATTATTGTTGTTTGATTATCTGACCAACATTAATGAAGATGTATTTTAGTCAATAAAATTAGATCAGCCAAAGTGATCGTTACCGAATTTAACCGTTAGTAGTAACATTATTAATGGTTTCCAAATTATGTATATATATATATATATATATATATATATATATATATATATAAATCGAATGTTGTAGCAAAGATAAAATAGACACGAAATTATTGGAGGTTAAATCAAAGAATCAAAATAATGTAGAAAATAGGTATCGGAAAATAATTACGCAATTGGAGTTCTTCATATGCTAACATATATTCTGAAAATGATTTGTACCCAGGTAGACTTATTGAAAACACGAATAAATATGCTTAAGGATTCAACAGTGTGGTAAAGATAGAAAAGATAATTTACAAAATAAAGAAAAGTACAGTTGTCCAAGTAAATAAATCATCGAGGTCGAACAGCATTTGTTTGTACACTTAGCTTTGATTTTTCTATCTGTATAACAAAGGTTTTAGAAATACATGTGTGACGTAACTAAGCTGCTTTTGGTAGGTTTTTTTCATCATGTAGAGGGCTTTGAATAATAAATCTATCTTGATCGGATGATCAGCAATCACAATACATTTTGTGTTCTCATTTATAATATCCATTCTATGGCCATTTTGCTCAAAGGTGTCCGGGAATATTACCTTTGTTCGTTGAGGAAGAACAGCAGCCGTTGAATTAGAGTGATTCCCACTATACTATTCTCATCATATCGGACCTCCTGTAGGACTTAGATATTCACACTGATCTGTCCTAGTTAGAACAACCTGGTGTAACACCTAACTGTTGTTCATTTTTCAGACAATAACGTTTCATAATGATTATCTGCAACCACTTAGCATCTCGAATTAGTGTATGTGACGTTGAGTCAAATAGACCAGTAGCCACTTTGTAACATGATCGGTAAGATCCAATCCACACTATTGATTAGATAAGGATGACACTAATTACTTCTAAGTGTTCAGTTGGTGTAAATGTCTGTCTTATGGGATTTTAGTAGCTGGACCAGTGGTAACTTTGATGCTGGGTGACCGGGATTCTAATCCTAGAGAAATATTTAGCTCATTCAAGATTATAAGTATGTCTTTCTGAAGAGCGTTACCTAGCAATAAACTTGGTTCAGCGTTTCCTACTGACTACCTCAAACCAGCGAATATTTACGACACATCCGCATTTTGGATTTTCGTGCCGTACAAAACTAAATGTACACTGTAGTGATTGTGAACTCGCCCAGCACTGTTCAAATTTCTTTCATGTTCACCCGTGGTTGTTTTGGCTAAACTATCATACTGATGATCTTGAGCGACTCTGTGAATGACTCGATCGTTATAACTGCATCGGTCTGCAATTGCATCTACCATATCATGCGTAGAGGAACTTTATATATTAGTCATTTGTATTACAAAGAGGACCTCGAGATACCTAATAAGTATATTTCATTCGGCAATTCTGCTTATCAACTACTCCTTTAATGAAGTATTAGCTATCCGTCATCACGTCATGAATTCCTTGCAAATGTTTATGAGCAGCTGTCTTTATTCTGATTGACTTGTCAGTATAGTATTATTTTACGGTATATCTACAAATCTACTTTTTCGTTTGTTCACACCGTTAATATGTAGCTTTGAAAAGTTACTAGGAATTACAAAATTAACTAAGGAAAGAAAGTATAACATACTTTTATACTGTAAATCGTAATCGTATAAAAAACAATCATGAAATAGTAGTTTTCGATAAATAACTGTATCCTGATTATAAATCCTAGACAAATTTCCAATGAAATTCATCTGGTTAATGAGATGGCCTTAATAATTTACTAGAATACATTCGCCTTAAGAATGAACGCCTTGGTAACCAAATTGCTCTGATAATCTGATTCAACAAACTTTATCGAAACAATCACTCATATGTGCTTCACTGTAATTCTTCACTCATCCTTCTACAGTTATTTATGAATATAGTCAGGGTAACGTACTAACCAATTATAGGTTAGCATACTCATTTAGCGATGCTACATGGATGCTTAAACTAAATTAGTTTGGACATAGTTTGAATCTGTGTCAGGACCTTTGAATCACGCGTGCGGAGTCGTGGATGCGCACGGGTAAGGAGTCCCATATTAGGACGAATCGACCTCCGTGCTTCCATGTTTTCAGTGATGGTTTAAGATTGATCATTTCATTATCTCAATTAGGACTCAGCAATCTCCACAACCGTATGCTGATAATTGGCGTTTAGTTTCTTTAATTTATTTAAATCTTTGTTATACTATACTAAAGTTTATTCATAACGAATTTTGACCAAATTCATTTACTTAAGTCTTCTCAACTCATTGCATAATTTTGATTTTTAAAAATTACAGGTTGTAAACACCTCGTGAGAAACTACTGAAGTGAAGTCAACTGATACTATTCTGCTCATATCTTTGTTTTCTCTCTTTTCAAAATAACTAAGGGAACATTATGTATTAAACATTAATTTACTTACTTGTTTGATACTCCTCGCTAGTTAACACCTGAGATGCTTTATGAAAGCCATTTTTACGCTTAAACCGTAGTTATAATTTCAAAGTGATAATGTCATCAGTCTTGAACTGTCTTAATTATCTCATTTGTTGATATTTAGCTACACAACATCACATTACGTGCTCTTAAATATCAATTCCTTTTCTTCACTCATTGATACTTGTATGAGCTTTCTTGATTTTACCTTTTACGAAAGTAATGGTGTTGCTTAAACACATATCATACCAACTTTGATTTGAATGTTATTGAATAACGAAATATTATAACAGATTAGTAGAAAACTAGTAATTTTTCTCTTGAGCCCGTTGTAGTGATTTTTTTCCGAAAATCCTTGATAAGCTATATGAGATTTCATGATCGACATCAGGGACTGATCTTAACTAGACTACTGTTCAGAACCAGGAAGAACTGGACGGCCGTTTTTTCCTAGTACGGAGCTCCTAAGCAGTGTGTACCCACGACCACACCACAGGAGATTGCGTACAGGACCTTCAGGTCTCGCGCGGATACTTTCTTTATATCCAATAAGTCGAGATTCAAGGATGTGCATAGCTATCTTCAATCAACTCACGATATTCCACAACTCATCGATTGTTAGGAGTGCATAAATGCCATACATCCGACAATCCTTGAGTTTAACATTGTCGGGTATCAGAGAGTTATTACTTGAGTACAGTTGGATAGGGTTGCTCAATATCCTGTTTTGATTGAAAACAAGTGTGTATACTACTTCATCCCGACTGGATTCGATTCCTTGTGATGTGGTCTTGGATGCTTACTGCTAAGGAGCTTCGTGCTAGGACAAAACAGCCTTTCAGTCTTTTGTGGTTCTGAATGGTGGTCTAGCTAAGATCAGTTCGTATTTTAAATTATGAAAATTCAACTATCTCAACTAACTCCAACTGGTAATTAAAATGATATTTTTTCACAGTAGAAAATTTTAGTTCACTATTGCCTTATTCAGTTAGCAATCCTCATACGTAGTGTTTTTTCATCTAGCTCAGATATATTTCTAAAAGAACTTTTAAGAAGAGATATCAATTGTTGAATCGTCCTACTCATCTTGGTTCAGAAATCTTCATTAGTTTATACACGTGAGTATTCATAGGACAGAAATTGGGATTTTTAGGTTTTGTGGAAGTTTTCAGTTTCCTTAAATCTGCTGCTTAATATACGTAACATGGAATTATCAGAAGTTCCAGTGGTTGGATGTAACCATAACCCAACGTTTTCAGAATATGTAATGAAACAAAAATATCGAGACTATTCATTCTGGATATACATTACTGTCCAGCTTCATTCGTTAATATCAGCATAGGAAATATACAAACCCTTACTGACAGTTTTACACCCATTGAATAGTTTAGTGGATACTTGGGCTCAGTAATATGGTGAATAACTCGTCCAGGTGTCAGGGGATAGATATCCAATCAGTCCTCAGTGTAAACTTCAGATGTGGGATATTGGCACATTTAACTAACGGGTCTCAGATAGCACCAAACGTATATTTTAATTTCCTCTACTAGTGTCAATCCAATTTTGTAAAAAACATTTTAAATTTGTTTCCTTAACTACGAAAGGCATCCAGATACATTTTGTTTGATCTATTTGTGTTTCATGTTTTCTTTATTTTTGTAACAAACAAAACAGATTTCTCCTAAGAATTAACGATTTGATCTTAAGTTCTTTTCTTTCTATAGAAATAATTCAGTGTGAGAGTTCCCAAGGAAATAGTATTTCGGAAAATCCCTAAACTTTTTTCAAATTAATTTCTTTTCTTCATTATGAGTAAGAAAAGATACAGGACATAGATTTTCGAAAGCTGATTCAATAGTCTAAATAACTAGCTGTGTCAGTTGCAATAATCAATGATCCTGAACTTAATTCCAGGCAGAGTACTGGATGAACACAACCATGAATTACTTTGGAAATATGTATAGCACGTGAGTTAAATATCGATTTATACTAGAATATTCGCAAAAAGAAATCAGAAATCATTTGATTCTTTCATTATTCTTACATTATTCTACTTAAGGAATGCACTAAGGAAATGAAATCGAAGAAACTGACTAATCTCAACAATGTTACATATATAATAGCTGTCTTATATATAGAAAAGTGATTTCCTCAGACTAAAAGTAAATGGCTATTGGTATAATATGCACATAAAAAAGATTTACACAAAGGCGAAAATCTATTCCACTTACTAGTCAGTAAAATCGAATGACGCTGTCATTTATGAACACTGAAAGTAAAGAAACAACCAGTTACTAGATATATTGGTCTGATCAAATGATCAAAACTACTCGTTTTTTTTACCAAAAGCAAAACCTTTTTTGCATCAAATATATCATTGATACAATCACTACTACTCATAATATTCAAAGTAGTAATCGAAATAGAGCAAGTATGATTAGATATAGTAAGGGTAAGGGCATAACTGTAAAAAAAGAAACTAAATTAGTCAACACTGTTAGTTTAGTAATAGTTTAAACAAGCGCAGTTAATTTTAATGTTTGAAACAAACAGTTTCCATCGGTGACAATGTTCAATTTATATCATTAATTAAAGTGAATGATCCAGTTCAAAAATATTAAAACAGAAAATAAATGTATGCACTAAGTACTATCAGCAATTATAGTAGTAGTATGTAAAGATCATTGAAAAAAACATTCCATGTAAAGAACAATTATTAGTAGTAACAATAATAATAACAACAATATTAGTCGTAGATAACTATGTATATATGAGTAAACCTTTCCGAGTGTTACTTCAATAGTAGGAAAAAGAAACTGCAATAAAAGGGAAGAGGATTTGAATGGGGTTTATTAAAACTATGAGTTTTAATTTTTCAAATTTATCCCTGACTTATTCAATCTTCAATTAATGAATGGATAATAACAACAATTCTATTGGTATTCACGATAAGCAATAAACTCATCACTTTTATCATTTTCTTCATCAGTCTGGTTTCTATGACAACCATCATCTTCTTCTTCTTCCTCATTGTTTTCTTGTTCATTTGTTTCTAAAACTGTATGATTTGTAAATGGTATTCTTTTCTTATTCAATATCATATTTTCACATTGAAATGCAGCTTTAGCTACGTTTAATACAGTTTGATATTCTAAATTAATTTTAGTCATACAATGTGGAAGGTTACTATCATTATTGTGTATATTTTGAATTTCTTCATTGTATTCATTATATTTTGACAATGGAAATATTGTATTGGTTTGATTGAATTGAGAATGATCTTTGCTTGTTGACATAGCTAAGTCATTATTAGAATGATTGGATAGATTTGATGAGAAAAATAAATTATTTGGGAACCAATTATGATTTTGATGAAACTGTTCCAATTTCATATATGTTTCTGTTGTGTTCGGTGTTTCTGAGACTACTGAAGACTCAGAAGTTACCGCTGCTGTTGATGAGAATAGTGGAAATCCTGTAGTTATATCAGTTGTTGATGTTAATTGTGAAGATGTTGGTAATGATTGTAAATGTTTTTTCATAACAAAATAATTATCATAAAGGTCAGAATTACAAAAATTCCTTAAAGATTGATTTGGCTGATTTTTGAAACTATTCAAAAAGGAAACTGATAAATCTACTTGTGGAGTTACATTGTTCAATGAAGAGTTAGAGTTTAAAATTTTCGTCGAGTCATTATGATTATATGAGTAATTATTGTTATTAACACTGTTATTACAATTCATATCAATTACACCAACATTATTTGTAAATTGACTATTAACATGACCATTTTCAGAGTTATTCTGTTCATGAGTATATTGAAGTTGAGATAATGAAGTATTAGGATTACTGAATTTCTGTTCATTATGTGTTGATAAAACGCTAGATTCATTTGTCGAATCAAAATCTATATGAAATTGATGCATTCTAGATAATGGTAACAGTGACGGCAAAACTGATCTAGCCTGATCAACTGGATAGCTTAAGTCTGTAACAGTGTTCTCATTGAAATGATGAGGCAATAACTTTGAATCCGAGTAGCTAGATAATGATGAGAACTGACTTGGATGTTTAGTAGATCTCTCTTCATTCAAATTAGTTAAAGAACTAGATATTTTATCTGAATTAATCGATGGATTTGAAAATGCTGACTCCATTGAATAAGAAATGGTGTTTTTACCATTATTTGTAATACCGGTGGCAGTAACGGTAGTTGTAGTGTTGTTACTATATGTTTGAGAAAATATATTTGCCCATTCATATGTATTCATTTCGGGAAAACGTGTACGATTTTGAATTTGATGATAAACATCATCTACCTGATTGACAACATTATATAATGACGAATTTGTTAACGATGTAGCATGGTTGCATAATTCCGTTGACTGTTGCAATAATGGTATAGAATAAGTTTGTAAATGATGATGTAATGCACTAGCTTCTTCCAAATTTTTATCTTGAACTTGTCTTTTTAACTTATACCGGCGATTTTGAAACCAGATTTTCACCTGTGTAATAATAATGATAATGAAAAAAAATTTGTTAGAATGTAAGATTAGTAGAGATAGATTATTATAAATTTGATAAAAACAACAAATAGTCGTAGCAAGTGCAAATTAAAAATGTTAACCCAAAGGTCTAAAGGTTAAGCGCTCACTGTGATTTCGATCCCTGATTAGGCTATAGATGCATACTGTTGAGAATTCCAACGCTAGTATGAAAGAGCTACTTACTATTTCCTGTTTTTTTCCATTTATTCTTTAATTAAAACTAATCCATTATGTAAATTATAATATCTAATAATCTACATAAATCTCGTACACATGTAAACAATCCCATTTGTTATAAATAAAAATAAAATATTTGTAATATCCCAATGAGTAGAAAAATTAGATTTTTTGACTTTTCGTGGCTCAGTGTAAGCCACTTCTTCAGAAGAAGTGCTCAATTTATTCAAAATTATCAAATCAAAACTTGATAATGATACCTGCAATCTAATTTGTTATTCAACCAAGAGCTCTATACTAACAGTATCCTTTATCATATGGAAGTAGATAGTAGATTTTAGTTGTTGTTTTTTTTTTAGATTAAAGAAGGCAAACAAAGTTTGAATCATTAGAATCAATTTCAAGTTAATCAAACTTCATAAACATAAAATCTAGGCTCATTTTTCCCTGTTAACTGCAATACAATATATGGTCATAATAAGATTATATACAATACAATTTCGTCCTAATCAAGTGGATTTTTTTAATTATTAAAAGACTTATCACTTAACTCTAAATTTCTTGGGTAGATGTTTCTCATTCATTACAATTCATTAACCTACTAAGTTTTATAACAGTATTTAGTTAACTTCGTAATTGTATGAAACTTCAAAATAAATATAAATTAAGCTAAGATGGATAGTGGCTAATAGTAGAAACCAGTACCTTTCGCTTTAAACGCCAACGCGTTATCCACTCAGCTACTAAGTTCTGATATCCACTTCCTTGTGTAATGGGACGAAACGCTCGTCAAACTGGATTCCACTGCTAACCATTATCCATCTCTGCTTACCATGCTTGTGAATTAAGGCTATATTGAGGCAATATACGCACAGTATGCACATATGCCAATTAGAGACTGACCAGTTGCAGTGCTAAACATCAATGGGAAGATTCAAACAAACAATACTAAGTGAATTTAAACATAAGTTATATACCATAAAATAGTTTGTAATTTTTTTTTAAAAAAACTAATAAGGAACAAACTAATCTCTATGGTATATGCCTGTATATTTTTGCTCATAAAATTTCCCACCTTTTTCCATTATTTATAATTTGCGCAATTTCAATATTCATTTAAACAAACATTACTGAATCCAAATGTTTGTTTATCTATTTGATCTTTATTATTGAAAAAGAGATTATTGTTGTTTTGATTTATATCCACAATAAATATACAATATCAGATAATGGAAACAGACATGATTATAGAAAATATATTTCTCGGTATCGTAGATACATAATACTAAAATAAATATAGAATGGTACATGGTCTGTATTGTCATAAAACATATATGCTGTTTAATGCGTTTTTTCTTTGTTGTTGTTGTTGTTGTTGTTGTTGTTGTTGTGAAATAATTAACAATGTTCTTATATTTCTACTACTTTTATTGAAACACCTACTGGAAATGAGAAGATACAAGTTGGGGTGTATTTTCTATGGTATGAAATTACTAAGCAGTATCCATTCACGAGTAAACCAAAAATCGAATAAATAACATTCTAGTTTTGTATCCATTGAAGGATTAAGGGAAGCTAACATTTATGTTCATTGCATTTAATCTCTAATGTCCCTTGCCTTAATGGATTTAAATCATAATTTAAAGAGTTATCATGGTGTTTATAAAGTATGGAAATGAATCCCATTTCATTTCAATCAGTTGAAAGAATTGAATTACCAACTTCTTTAATCTGAGCATGTATAACATAGTACATGCCGTTGGACTGTTTGACATGTAACTGACTGACTACACATTCTTCTTAACATTGAGTATTCAATAACTAGTTATATATATCTTAAATAATTAGAGCTTAATACTATAATGGACTGTAATTACAGTTGATCTTACATGGCTCAAAATAATAGCTAGATTTTATTTATCACGTTTACTAATACACATGAATAAAAGACAACTTTGGTTTCCAATAGAATTGGATCTTGTTATTTCATGGTTAATATTTAAAAAGATGGTTTATTTTAAATATCAAAACGAATAATAAGTACCATTAAATTGTAGAGAATGAATGTCAGCTAATGTATTTACTATGTTAGGATCATAAAAAGAAACATGAGATCACAGGCAAAAGTTGACATTTATAAATTCTGGAGTTTTCATTGCTAAGTAAAATTATAATATTCAGATGTTATGCTTTATTAGATAGATTCCTATAGCCTGTACGGACAGTTTTTATTACAAGCTGTCATTAACTAGTGAATAAATAAAAGTTAAGCAGAAATGAAACTTTTAAATTTGATCCCATATAGTTCCATGACTGAACATTGCTGTAAAATAGTTAACTACTTATTCGGTACTACCTGATTTTTAGTCGTGCTATGTACTTAATAGCATTTTATTACAAAGAGAATCTTCATTGACATTGATAAAAGTTTGAAAGAGCTAAAAATCTATAGATTAATTATGATATTCATTAAATTACAGACTTGGGATTACTTCGCAGCTCTAACTTGGAATCCTCAAGGCAAAAGGAATAAAGTCAGACCAAAGAACGAAACGAACAGGGAATTGATGACAGACATCAGTAGAATAAGTGGAACTCAGGGACAATTCAAAAGGAATACCTTGTACAAAGCTAGTTCGAGAATCCTTGTCGGCGGCCTAAGCGTCATGAAGGGTAACAGCTTGAGTGAGTTAGTATAAACACCAGTGGGGACAACCAAATGTATGCGACTACGAAATTACAGAATCCCTCATTAAGATCTAAGAACCATGCAGTAAATATTTCGTTTGTAAAATGTCAATCAATTATCTCAGACTTGATTGTTCCTTCGTTTCCACACGAATGACTCTCTGTTCTCGTTCTATTCTCTCCTATCTTCTTAACCCTCTGCCATCAGGCATTGTATTTTTGATTGATGATACATACTACTTATATCTGTCGATATCAATGGCACACACCACAGTACGTGCACTTTTCATCCAACGAGTGCGGTAGAAAGCTTACTGCACAAATGGTTAATGATTTTTCATAATAAGGCTAGTTATTGTTATTATTTGAAAATTTTTTGACTTAACTGTAAATGAACAAGATAGAAATAGTTTTCTACTATACTAGTTTTTCTGTAAAATTTTATCAACCAAGCGAAGCAAAATTAAACATATATTGAATCGATTGGTATATAATCCAATTTTTCAGAGTACCCTAATGGATTAGATATCAGACAAAATGTAGATCATGGATTAAAATATTCAGCTAGGACTGCATTTCTTAATTCTTTAAATCTGATGATTTTGCGGAAATTTCCAATAATCGATGGTTTGGGATAGTCGCTAAGAAACCCAGTACCTAGATTTTGTACTAATTATTACTAGTTAGTAGGGCGAGGTTGCAGTCTTGATTGAACTGATGCTGTCTAAGAGATCTGAACCTACGTCACTCTGTTTCACTCACATAGACATTATCATTATGCTATTCGGTCAGCGACTGACCACCTATAGTGCTATGGTGTTACCATCAGTCTTGGTGACTCAGTATTGGAAAGATTATACTTCTATGTAAGTTATAATTCAAACAGCACTAACAAATATACAAATATATTCAATCAATGTAGATTTCACATTACTTGAAGGTAATGTTATTCACCACGAAATAATATTAATTCTAGTATTTTTGACAACTAAAATTAATTGAAATGCTGGGAATCGAAGATTATCCGAGTGACTATAAGTTAGTATACATTTCATGATTTAATTTTTTTACTCTATTTTTTAGCTAATTACTTTACTTACATTTGCCTGTTGCTTCCAACGGAGCATAGGCCGCCGACCAGCATTCTCCAATCCACCCTGTCCTGAGCCTTCCTTTCTAGTTCTATCCAGTTTATGTTCATTCTTTTCATGTCTGTCTCCATTTCTCGGTTTAATGTGTTCTTTGGTCTTCCTCTTCTCCTTTAGCTAATTACTTTGAACAAATATCTAAAGTTTACTGACAACCTTACTTACGCCTGTTACCCCTCGTATAGGAGCATAGGCCGCTCACCAGCATTCTCCATCCAACTCTGTCCTGAGCCTTCCTTTCCAGTTCTTTCCAGTTGCTATTCATCTTTTTCATACCGGCTTCTATTTCCCGGTGTATTGTGTTCATTGGCCTTCCTCTTTTCCACTTCCCTTCACCATTCCAAGTTAGGGATTGCCTTGTAATGCACATTGGTGATTTCCTTAATGTATGCCCGATCCACTTCCAACGTCTTTTTCCTAATTTCCTCTTCAGCTGGAAGCTGGTTTGTCCTCTCCCATAAAACGCTTTTGCTGATAGTATCCGGCCAATGGATGTTGAGTATTTTGCGTAGACAACTGTTTATAAATACTTGTACCTTCCTGATGATGGCCGTAGTAGTTCTCCACGTTTCAGCTCCATACAGTAGGACTGTCTTGACGTTCGTATTAAAGATTCTGACCTTGAAAATGGTTGAGAGTTGTTTTGAGTTCCATATGTTCTGCAATTGTAGAAATGCTGCCCTTGCTCTGCCAATCCTTGCCTTTACATCTGCATCCGATCCTCCTTGTTTATCAACGATGCTCCCCAGGTACTTGAATGTTTCCACCTCTTCCAGAGTTTCGCCATCAAGTGTGTTTGGGTTGGTGCTCTCCGTGTTGCATTTGAGAATCTTGTGAACGTTGAGGCCTATCGATGCGGAGGCTGCTGCTATATTTGCGGTCTTCATCTGCATTTCTTCGTGTGTATGAGAGAGGAGGGCTAGGTCATCTGCGAAGTCCAAATCA